GTCGACTATTCTATAGTCCCCGGGGGCGGGGCCAGCAGCCAGTGCTCTCTGGCCTCTCTCCGGAGGAGCCCCCTGCCAGTCTGTGCTGCTGCCTCTGTATCATGTTAGTTTTTTCTGGGTGTCCTCCACTAGCCAGTAGGCAGGTAGCCAGATGCATAAAGCATTCGCATGCCAGACATCTGAGAGTCAACACCTATCGGAACAGCAAACTTGGATTAAAGGTGCAGCTGATGTGAGAACATCCTCCCACTCAGTGATTTCATCTCTGTCTCCTCTACCCTGGCTCTTTCTCTGTCCGTCTAATTCAGTGGTTCCCAAATTTTCAACCTTGATGGTGGGGGAGGCTGGGTCACCTTGCGCCCCCCCCTGGAATTTCTTCACGCACCCCCAGTTTGGGACTCATGGTCTAATTGGATCTGGTTGGCAGAGGAAAAGAAAATCCGTAGCTTCGTAAGCTCTCTTCCGAGGCCAAAAGGAGAAGCGGGGAAGCCGCGTGTCTTGGTACCGGGGAATTGTATTCTCAGCTGTGCGGGGCAGGAGCCATCCGTGGCTAGAACTCCCGTTGGCTACCACAATGAACTCACCGTCCTCTCAATGCAGGGAGGTTTGGTGCTAGCACCCAGGGACTCCAAGCAAAGCCCCACTCTAGAAAGATTCCTGACATCTCATCGAGCACCTTCTGACAGCAGCTCTCCCAGGGGAGGGCTGGTATGGTTCTTCCCATGTGACGGAGGGGGAAACTGAGGCACCTGGCGGTGACACGACGTGCACGAAGTGACAGAACGTTTACGGCCCAGGTGCCAGACTATGATGGGCGGCTAGTCGGGACAAATCAGGTAGCAGGGGCGGGGATGAGGTGAGAAACTGAACCGAATGGGCCGTAATGTCAGCTTGGCGCATCGCTTGCCTGACCAATACCCACATAATGCTGAGGGGAGCCGCCCCTGTGGCGTCCTGTTGATTTCGGGCCAAGTTCTGCCTGATTCACTTATTCTTCCTGTGTATGAGTTGTGGTAGTGCCTAGGAGTCCTCTGTGCTCGGTGGGCCAGGACACCCCGGTGCTCGGGGCTGTACAAACACAGAGCACAAAGACCCTCCCTTCCTCATAAAGCGACCAGTCGCAGGGAAACCCGTGCAAATCCGCTGGCTTCAGCGAAGCGGCACGGATGGCACATGAGGGCGATGGAGGAAACATGCCAGAGCGATAGCACTGGAGGCCTAAGGCCTCAATAGACCAAATACAACCTGGACAGCCCAGGCAAGCGTCCTCCTGAGCCTGCCTGGTTACAGGTCTCCCCTCTGCTCCCCGAGAGAACCGCCTCGAAGGGGGATCTGGGCGCTCTATCTCCATTTGCATCCTTCTCTAGGAGGAGTCAGGCAGATTCACCAGGCCCACCGACAGGAGGGGGTAAAGGGGGCAGTTGCCCTGGGCCTGGTGATTGTACGGGGTCCAGTATTCCTGGCTGCCACCGCCGCTACTATGTAACGCCTGCGCCTGGAGTCCTGGACCCTTTAAATTGCTGCCAGAGCGCTGCGTGGCGCATGCTGAGCAGTGCTAAGGTCTGGGGAGGGAGGTCCCAGCCCCACCCCTTCCAGCACCTAATTCACCTGGGCTCCTTTGACAATCCCATCCTGTTTTGGGGGGCAGGCTCAGACTAGATGAAGCCGTTGTCCCAGGAGTCTGGCTAGGACAAATCCTTTCCCCAGCCCCCACCCCATGTACTCACCTGGGCGGTCGGGAAGTCCCCTGGGGAGGAATGCATGGGTGGAGCCACAGCCACTGTGCCACTCTGGGTATCCCCTCTTCCACAAAGGCTTTTGAGTGGGTGTAAATTACAGTCATACCTGCATTAAGGGGATTTGCCCTGGAAGGGTGTCCCATTGGTTACGGGACTAGCTTAGAACCTAGGATCAAGTTCCTATTCTAGCCCGTACTTCCTCTTTGAGCGTTGCCATTTCACGCCCTTCCTTCGTGCCTCAGTTTCCCCATCTGTGCCATGGGGGAAATAGCCCTGCCCCACAGCCGGCTGGGATGATAAATACATTAAAGTCTGTGGGAGATGGAGCTAATGGGGGTCCTAGAGGTGCACAGGTTAGGTAGATGCTGTATAAAAGGAGCCATAGGAGAAATGAGAACCAGGCCCTGAAGATGCATTCTGCTCTGAAGGGGCTGCATGAGCCGTGCTGTGTGGAAGCAGCTGATGAGTGAGGCTAGCCGTCCACACCCCGTGGTAATTGCCTGGATTCCGGGCCACCGGATCCTGTGCTCCCAAGTTTTGCGCTTCGATGGTTTTCTCCTGCTTGCCTCTTCGCGATGGACCAGGCCCAGCAACAGGGGCTGCAGCGTCTCTGCCGTGCCAGAAACCTGGGACTAGCTGTTCTGCCTTAGCCACCCCAATCAGCTGTCGAGGCGTGCCGAACTAACACCGCCCGGCTAAAAATAGAAACCGCTAATCTGTACCCTCCGAAACTTTTGTTGTGCCATCTTCAGAAGGAGCTAATGAGATTGCACCTGCTGATTTCGAGGCATACGCCCACTCGCTGCCAGACGCTCCAGCACCCGCCCGCCCGCTCGCAAACAGACACGAGCGTGCGCACAGAGATACCGATGGGGTGACTCAGGAGCAGTCCGGCTCGGCAGGGCCAACGGGGGGAACCCGGACGTAAAAATGACACGGAAGGTGGATTGCGTCTGAGATGTAGCTCAGCAGATTGTGTGCAGCTCTGTGGAGCTGGTTGTCGAGGAGGTGAAACGAGACCAAAGTCGGTGTTTTTTTCCACACAATCGATATTGGTTCCTTTCTCCAGCTGAAGCCCACTGTCGGATCTGACGCGCTAGTGTGGGGAAGGGTATTAGCTCGGGCAGGGATGCGAATAGCTGGGAGAGTTGAAGGCAGGGGTGTAGCGAGGGAGGGACAAGGGGGGTCAGCTGCCCCCGGTGCCACGCAGGGAGAATGGTGTGGGCGGGTCTAACGTGGCTGCAGCTGCCCCCCCCCCACATCCCGCCTTGCTACACCCCTGGTACAAGGGAGACCATAGTGTTTTCCAACAGGTCTGCGTGCAGATAACGGACACCGTTCTGGGTGCGTAACCCACTATGTGGCACAGAGCTCTCTGCAAGTCAAGGAGTCGGATCCTAGTCTTCTTCCAGCACTGGGTGAAAGGGCGGTTCGCTTGTCCCAGGGGAGGGGTTCCTGTGACTTATGGTTGGGGGGTGGGGGGGGACTGGCTTTGGAGGCCCAGTTCAAGACGCCGGAGGAGCTTGGGATTCAGAGCTGAGCAGCTACCTCAGCCGGTGACTTGGGTTGGTGTTGAAAGCCAAGTTGTCTCATATGGGGATCCCACATCACCACGTTTGGGATCACTGGCCATGGACACTAGATCGGGGGGGAGGGGGACGGGGAGGGGCCGCTAACAGCTTCCTTACAGCGCACGTTGCCATTTCATCACGTGGGGAGATTTCAAACCTTTGGAGCAAGGCCTGGCACCTGGGCTGCAATTTTCAGGGGCCTAAGGAAGCCGAGCATTCCTCTCCCCTCCCCCCCCCACCTTGAAATCCCTCAGGAATCGAGGAGGAGATTTTCATAAGGGCGCGTTGTCTCTGGGAATCCCAGACGCGACAGCTCAAAGGAGCAGATTTTCAAAGCTGCAAAGGACAGTTAGGATTTGAACTTCTGTGGGAACCAGGCTCCTGCGATAGTTTTACAACCCCTCTCCCCATGACTGAAGTACCTCAACCCCTCACAATCATCATACACTGATCATCACCGCCCCTGCCCCCAAAGAGACAAGCCAGATAAAGTGACTTGACCAAGGGCACACAGGAAGTCAGCAGCAAGTCTGGGATTCGGCACCTGTGAGGCCCCATCTGGAGTATCGCGTCCAGTTTTGGCCTCCATCTACAGAAAGGACACAGAGAAGGTCCAGCGGAGGGCAATGAAAATGATTCGGGGGCTGGTGCACAAGACTTACGAGGAGAGGCTGAGGGATTTAGGCTTGTTGAGTCTGCAGAAGCGAAGAGCGAGGGGGGATTTGGTAGCAGCCTTCAACTCCCTGAAGGGCGGTTCCAAAGAGGATGGAGAGAGGCTGTTCTCAGTGGTGGCAGATGGCAGAACGAGGAGCAATGGGCTCAGGTTGCAGTGGGGGAGGTCTAGGTTGGCTATTAGGAAAAGCAATGTTCCTAGGAGGGAGGGGAAGCACTGGGGTGGGTTCCCTAGGGAGGGGCTGGAATCTCCAATCCTCGAGGTTTTTAAGTCCTGACTTGACAAAGCCCTGGCTGGGATGACTGCATTGGGATTGGTCCTGCTTTGGGCAGGGGGGCTGGACTCGATGGCCTTCTGAGGTTTCCTCCAACCCTAGTTTTCTGTGATTTGAACCCAGGCCTCTTACCTGCCAGGCTAGTGTTCAAACCACATCCCTCCTCTTGAAGGGTGGGTGGACACCGCACTCCACAGTGGGCCATTGAAAAACTCCCTCAAAAATAAATGAGTCTCGTACTCTGGCAGTACGGGGTAGACTATAGACCAGCGATGGGCAACCGAGGCTAGTGGGCGGCCCCTCCTTCATCTGAATGAGCCACAAGACTGTCAAACCCAAGATGGTGCAGGGGGAGCGCACGGCTGTGTGCAGTCAGCCCACCCTTCGCTGCCCGGGCTCCCCTGGCTTTGTGTCACTTGAGTAACACCGGTGGGAAAAAGACCGACGTGGACAGAAACCGGCGGAATCGTGGGCACCAGTGAACAGCGTGATTGGTGGGCCACACGTAGAACCCCGACGGGCCGCAGGTGACCCGCGGGCCGCCCACCAGTGCTGCAGTGTCGGTGTGGGGGTTTGCAGATAGGCGGTGCCCCCGCAGCTATTCTCAGCACGCAGCCTAGCGATGTCTTAGCCACGAGTGGCTGGCGGGTCCGGAAAGCCGGGGCCCCCGGCAGCCAGTCCAGAGCGGAAGCCTTTTGCTGGCGTGGGCCCGCCACTGAGAGCTGTTCATTTTTGCTTCCTAGGTAAAAGATGAAAAAAATGTCCAGGAAGTGTTTGACCTGAGCGATTATGAGAAATGCGAAGAACTCAGGAAGTCCAAAAGCAGAAGCAAAAAGAACCACAGCAAGTTTACACTTGCACACTCCAAACAGCCTGGAAACACGGTACCGCTATCCACACGCCTTGTGGTCACCTTCCCCAAGACTTCCGGCTGCTTTGACCATGGCAGCATGAATCCACTGCCCAGTCAATCCCCCACCTTGTCTTTCTCAAAGATCTAGTCTCCCCCCCTTCCACGCCAAATTATGGGCTGGGCACAGCAATCGCTGGGAGTAATTCTCCAGCCTGTGCCCTGAAGTGTGCCAGGCTAGATCAAGGGTGGGCAATAATTTTTTGGGGGAGGGGCACTCCCAAGATTTTGGTAAGGGGTCAAGGGCCACACTTTTCCCTGGAGGGGCTGTGGGGTCTGGGAGGGAGGTGGGGTGCAGAAAGGAGCTCAGGGTACAAGACTGGGGTGAAGGAGGGGGTGTGGGGTCTGAGAGGGAGTTTGGGTGAAGGAGGGGGATGTGATCTGGGACAGGGGATTGGAGTGCAGGGTCCAGGAGGGGGTATGGGTTCAGGAAAGGATTCTGGCTTGGGGAAGGGATGAAGAAGAGGGTGCAGGGTCTGGAGGGAGCTGTGACCTGGGGGAGGGGGGAAAGGGAGATGAAGAGGGTTTGCGTGATGACTTGGTGAAGGGAATGGAGTACAAGACCTGGGAGGCAGTTGTGACCTGAGGGAGGAGGGGTGCAGAGAGTCTGGGTGAAAACCTGATGCAGGGAGGTGGGGAAAGGGGGTGGGGGTTGGGGTGCCAGAGGCAGGCTATGGCTGAGAGGTGCTTATCTAGTCAGCTCCTGGCCAGCAGCCCTGGAGGTCCTGAGGCCATGTGGCCAATGGGAGCTGAGAGATTCTGCTGGAGGGCGGGAGCAGTGCATGACGCCTCCCCCTTCCCCTGGTGGCTGGAGCAGAGAACCACAGGGAGCAGCCAGCTGCTTAAAGCAGCGTGGGGTTGCTTGGAAGTGGCTGGCTGCTCTGAGCTTGAGCATCCCAGCGCGCTGGACCTTGGGTTGGATTGGGCGGTCCTCGGGCTAGATCCAGTGGCTTGATGGGCTGTATCCGGCCCGTGGGCCGTATCTTGCTTGCCGTTGGGCTAGATGAACCTCCATCTGCTGGAGGCAGTAAATCCTGCGGGGATGGCCTGTAGTTTTGGCTATTGACTTGTAACGGCAGCAGAATCAGGCTTTGGCCTCTCCACTTCAATACACCAGTCGTTTACTCCAGATCCTCGCAGTGGGAGCTAAAGAAGGGGCAGGCAAAGCATTTGGGGTGATCACGACGCAGACCAGGAATTAGAACAGAACCCTCTAGCAGGACTGGAAACATTTTGGCTGTTCCGGGCAGTCTCTGGGGGTGGGCTGACTGGGTTTTTTCCCAAGAAGTAAAACTGACCCCCAACCTGGTTCTCTGCTGCTGTCAGTTGTGCGCTGGGTGGAGCTGCATTGGCTTGGGTTAGTGGACAAGCCGGGCTCTGGGTTTTTCTTGGCGGCCTCTCAGTGAACGGGGACCGTGCCGACCCAGGCATTGTGCACCATGAATTCTCTCTCTCCTAGGCACCGAACCTGATCTTCCTGGCCGTCAGTCCAGAAGAGAAGGAGTCCTGGATCAACGCCCTCAACTCCGCCATCACCCGAGCCAAAAACCGCATCTTAGACGAGGTGAGATGTTCTCTCGGGGCCGGGCACCAGCTCTGTGGTCTCGGTCTCAGTCTCGGGGGGAAACCTTGCCCTGCAGCTCTCTGGCCTGAGGTACATCTGCCTTGGAACCCATCTCTCAGCGCTGTCGCCAGACGGGGCCGCGGCTAAAAACAGTCGTGTAGAGATTATGGCTTGCACTCCCACCCGAGGCAGAGAGGGAGGCACGAGCTACGATTTAAAAGCACAGTCTGCGCAACTATTGGTAGCACAGTAGCTGTGATCCTGAATCTGTCAAGCCAGGCTGGGAGGCGGTCTATGGCAAGCTGCCGCTGGCCGTGTAGACGTACCTGTCGTGAGAAAGGTGGCCTACGCTTCCCGCCTCCACGTACGGATGTCCCTTTCTCAGAACTTGTCTTCAGTGCTGCGGAGATCGATGCTGCAGCGGTTGATCCGGCGTTTGATTGAGCAGGACTAGTAAAGACCCGCTAAATTGAACGCTGATGGCGCCCCCGTGGGCCATGGAACTCCTCACAGTCACGAGGAGTGACTCAGCTAGTCAGAGCAGCCCTCGCCTGTGGTGGGCCCGGCAGGGATGGGGCAGCTCCTGCCAGTTAACTGAAACTGGTAAGCCTCGCCTGTACCAGTTAACCAGAACTGGTAAGCCTTGCCCGTTGAGCATGAGGCTTACTGGTTAACTGATTAACCATTCACATCCCTAGTAACCACCAGTGGAGTTCTTTCACCTCTCCCAAATACCCCATTCCAGTTCAAAGCAAGTTTTGATTCAGACCGAGTTCGGGGACCGCTACAGCTCTTGGGCTTGGCTGGTGCCTTTCATGCTGCCACGCTGGGTGGGTGATGAGCCGGACTCCCTACCAGAGGCGAGCTGCAAACTGTATGTTTGACTGTCGGATTTGCAGTTTGCCGCTCACACAATCTGCAGGCTGAGCGTTGCTGGAAAATGTTGCCATCAGCTCCTGGACAGACCACAGATGGAAAGACGAACCCTGGTTCAATAAACGAGGCACCGGGACATCTCGCCCAATGCCTGTTGCCGGGGGAGGGAGTCCTGACCTTATGGTTTGTGCTGGGGAGCTTGACGACCTTTATTGGCATGCTTGTGTCCCCTGGCAGGTGACTGTTGAGGAGGACAGCTACCTCGCCCATCCGACCCGCGACAGGGCAAAAATCCAGCACTCCAGACGGCCGCCGACACGGGGACACCTGATGGCTGTGGTACGTAGGCTAAGCCCCGGGCACAAGCTCAGAAAGGTCACGTCCGACGCTCACAATCCCCTATATGGTTTTAATTTTGAAATGGATGGAAGAAGATACAGCGTCTTTTATCCAGGGGAGGGTGAGGACGGATGGCTATTTCCTGGCATGTGTGAAATGAACGGGCATGTCTCATTCAAGTTCCTAGTAGAGAAGGTGGGCAATTGAAGCATAGGGCAGATTAAAAGACTTGCCCAAGGTCACACGAGAAGGCTGTGACGGAGCAAGGAACAGACTCCAGGCCTCCTCAGCCTCAGCCACTAGACTCTTGCCCCCTGAACCTCGGCCGTTCCTCCTGGTGCCTGTTGGCACTCTGGCACCGCAGCCCATTAAATGGGTACATTAGAAATGCACTGAGAGCTTGCTACGATGCTTAAAGTAGTGAGTGGAACGCATTATTCCCTGTATTGTGTGGCCGCTCAGGAGAGATTCTGATGCCACCCAGCTGATTAGCAGAATGCCCACAGCTAAGTTTTGTTTCTACTAGTAGTGCACATTTGTACATGCCTCGGTGCACAAAATTATTCCACACATGGGTGGAAAAGATTAGAGGGCGCACTGGTGGGCGGCCTTTGCATCCGTCCACTCACAGCTCCTGCCTTTCTCCCCACGCTCTGCAGGCATCTACCTCAACGTCGGACGGAATGCTGACACTGGACCTCATCCAGGAAGAAGACGCTTCTCCAGAGGACCACGGGACTTGCGAAGAGAGCTTCCGGGTAGACCTGGATAAGTCTGTGGCGCACCTGGCTGCCGGCCGACGCCGGTCCGATTCGGAAAACGTCAAGTCCTTGGAGAAAGGCCGGTCGGTGAGCCTGCCCCGGCGGGAGGCGATCTCGTGGGACAAACCTGGGAAGCGCAACGACTCTTTCGACAAAGGGACCGTGTATACCCCGCAGGTCCCCAAAAGGCTCTCGCACTCGGAAAAGAACAAATGTAGCTCCATGGAGGAGATCTTGTCTCGCCGGGACTCTTCCGCCCACCGGGCCGCGCTGAGGAAGGGGCTGGAGGTGCCGTTTGCCTCGGCTGCGCCCGAGCAGCTGGCCCGGATACAGGAACTCGTTGCACTGAAACTGGAAAAAACTCAGGAACTGCTCACGGAGGTGAAGGGCTACGGGGAAGGGAAGCGGAAGACGAAAGATTTCGCCGCTGCCGCCACCACCACCTCGTCCTCTTCCAGGTCAGACTCTGAGAGCATCTTGCAGGAGACGGAGCGGTTGCTGGGCGAGGCCTCCTCCACTTGGAGCCAGGCCAAGAAAGTGCTGCAGGAGATCAAAGAGCTGAGGGACCTGTACAAACAGCTAGAACTGCAGCCGCCGGACCCTAAATCCAAACAGGCTTCGCAGTCTCAGCACCGGAAGAGCATGATGTGAAGGCGAGGGGGGCGGTGATTTCTTTTTCTGATTATTTACAGTGTTCGAAACAGTACAAGGTGCCTGTTCTCCTCCCAACTTGCGCCCCAAGCTCGACCCCTTCCCCATCCCAGATCTCCCCCCCGTGACACAAAAAGGTGTTCCAATCAATCAGTTTGGATATCTCCCCTCCCCCCCGAAAGCATCCTTTCTCTGCATTCTGGGGCGGCTCGTGTCATGCCTGCAGGATGGAAGAACCCCAAGACCTGGGCAGCTCCTGCCACGTTCGTGGAGACATATGCCCAGCAACAGGAGTAAATGTTCTCCCTCTAGATGAGCCCTGGGTTTGCAGCTTTGAGTCCAGAGCCTCCAAGTTCTGTGTCCTACGCCACGGCTCTGTGTCGCTCGCTTGGCCTATGGTTGGGGGTTTTTTCCCCTCCCCATCTCTTTGAAAAAAGAGTCAGCACTCAAAAGTCCCCGTTCTCCAAAAACTGTTTGGAAGACGCTCGCGAGTGACACCCGCGCCGGGGTTGGAATTCCACGTCAGAACGAGCCGGTTCCCAGGCTGACGTGTCGGGAGAGGCCTCGGGCGTTCCTTCCTGAACTGGGCTTTTCCCTGCCGGTGGTCTTGTACTGATCCCGAACCCTCTTTTGCAAACTCCCGTGGCAGGCAGCTGTTGTACACGTGGTACAGTCATATACAGCCCTCCCTAGGGAGGCACTAGGTATGCAATCTGTGTTAAAACTAACCCCGTCTGTCTGCCGATGCAGACGCCCCCTGCTCTGCTGTAATGAGATTTAGCAATGGCAATGTCTTCCGTCCCGTGCAGATGATGACGGCCTGGAATCTGAGGGGCAGCCATTATTTGTTTTCCATTGTTCTTTCCTTCCTTAATGCCGGCGTGGAAGGGAAAGTCGGGGGTTGGCACTGTGGGCCACAGAGAAACTGCTTGTTGGTTTAGTGGGCCTGATTCTGCTCCCGCTCCTTATACACAACTGTCATGCTGTCACTGACACTGGTGTGAAGTTGGCATCAGTCCCCCTGGAACTGAAAAGGATCCCAGGTCAGATCTTCAGTTATCCTTGCCCCCGCTGATGTCTCGCAATTTTCTAACGAGGTGGCTCAGGTTTCATGCATTTAAGCAAGGGGAAATACGCTAAGATTTCTCGCGGGGTTTAAAGTACACACCGGCAAATTAACAGCCGCTGTTTTTTCAAAGGAATCAAATTTCCTTGCCTGTGTTGCAAAGAACCCCCGAGAATATTAAAAACAACTGAGTTTTAAATGTCTAATTTCCTTTTCACTGTTTACATTTTGTACCTCTCCCCGATTTGAAAGGAGACTCGTTATGTTTGCGTCTGCGTCTGGTCAGTTTCGCTCATATTGCCGGCTGAGGCTGTGATGTTTGGATTGCAACCACTGCAAGGAATTGTTGATCTGTGTTTTTTAAAAGCTCCCACCAGTTGGAATTAAATAACATTGGTGGAAATATTTTTATTGGCCTGAGGTTCTTTTATGGCTGGTTGTTTGCAAAGCTTAAATTTGGGGCCCAGTTTCACCTGACAGTGTCTCTTTAAGTTATCCGTGCCTCCTTTCAAACCCTATCCCTCAAACGACAGAAGAATCTCAGCTGCTGTCACAACGCTACACAGTCATACGGTCATGATACAAACAGGCAGATTTGGCTTTTATAGAATTTACAAGTAGTATCCCTTTCTTGATTTTTTTAAAATACATTTTGGACCACTTGAAGGATGCATTTTTACAAAGTCAGCGCAATCAAATTCGATCCTTTAAGAAAAAGAGATTAAAAAAAAAACCTATCCCATGTAAGACATTCTGACAATACCCTTGTAAGTCGCCTTGCTTTGATCCTGAAGTAAACAAGAAAAAAAACTCTTCCAATAGTTTAATATTATGCATTAAAAATAACCCTAGCCTCAAAGTAGAAAAGCTGTTTTAAAATCTAGAGATTCTAATGATGCTGGATTAGCCTGGACCTGTGTCATGGCTGGGTTTGGGATTCTACGCACTGGATTAATATCAAAGCGTATGTCTGTAAAAACACCGGATCGGGTTATATAGTTCTAACAAGATGCCCACAGTCACAGATGCATATGGGGGTCATTGCACGTACCAGAGAATCTCAGCTATACGGAACCTTGTCCCTTCCAAATCTGTCTTGAGCAACCAGCCAAGATAGTGACAAAACTGCCTTTGAGACTTTGAGGGAGTCTTGAATGGACAGGTGGGTCTGCCCCACGGAGATGGGGTCGGGTGCAAGTTTCACTCTTTGGCAGTGATTACCTAGTTGCACATTGAGAGGAAGATACCAGCGTCTTTGGAAACAGATTTGTCCTACAACGAAAGCTCATGTGTCACATTGTTAGAGCTGTGCAAAATTTCACAAGTTCTAAGCTTGGTACCAGCTTTTGCTGGGTGAACTTCTGGGCAAACAAGGGGGCAGAGTTGTGGTTTGGGGAGGGAACTACTCCAGATGGATTGGCGTGGTTTTGACTCCCAAACTGGGCACGGGTAGGTCTGTTTCAACCCCAAACTCCTGTGATACAAAGCCGGTGGAGTGAGTTCAAAAGGGAAACCATCACTACTAGTGCCCCTGAAAACCAAACCCGGCAAGTTTCATGCACCCCTAACCACAGCATTTATGTCTGGACAGCACGATTCTGCATCCGCCAGGTCACGTTAATCTTTTTAAGACCAAGGAACACCAAACAATAATATTTTTTTATGAGGAACACCAAGAATTCTTTTGTTGAGCAAAAAAAAAAAGGGAGGAGGGGAGGACGACTTATTGACAAAAAACGAAAAGTCACCTGCCCCTATAAGGCCAGCCATTTTGAACGCTGTTGTTCTCAGTGGCACACTTTCCACTGCTTGTGTGCCACTGTTTAAGAAACACTGTGTGATGAGATCTTGGTCACCTCATCATGCCAGAGCATCCCAAGAGAGAGAGCTGCAAAAATTGCCCAACCAAAACTAGGATGAGCGGCGCCTCAGAGGAATTGGAATCTTCCCGGTCCAATCCAATTTCTAAAGTTTCCCCATGTCCTCAGAGGGGACGTTGGTGGGAGGGGAAGAGGGATGAAGGGCCATCTCCCACACTCTGCTTCTGCACCTGCATTGCCATGGTTTTCATGACTCTTTACAGGCCGTGGACTCCTCCAAATTGCCTACGGCAGCTGCCGCTTAGTGAAATTCTGGCCCCGTTAAAATCTCTAGTAGAATTCCCACTGATCTCAATGAATCCAGGCTTCTGCCTTCGGACGCTAAGCAGAGGCCACGTTAAGATTTTGAGGGTCCCAGCCTGTAAGCTGAGCACTTGAGCAGCTGCTCAGGAGAGATTTCAGTGCTGCCCAGCTAGGTTTTTGTTTCTATTGGTGGTGCACATTCCTCAGTGCACATACAAATATTCCGCACATGGAAAAAATCCGCACATGGATGGGAGAGATTAGAGAGGACACTGGTCCCAACATGGGTTATTTTTGAGATGCTCATTCCCCTTTGATCTACCACTTCCATCTCGCCTCCTTCTCCCTTCCTGGTTGATGAGCCTAGACACCACGTGGCTTTTACAGTCCCACCCTAGGACCCAAAAGGTGGCCCAAAAGCTGTCTGGGCCTGTCCCATTGCATTGGGTTTCCCCCAGCCAGCATTGTTGCCAGAGAACTTGATAAGACTAAGCAGTCATGTTATCATTTACTATTTGTAAAGCAGGCTAGACGTTTTCCAAGAGAATGTTTTTCCTTTGGAAAGCAAAACTTCCCCTGGGAACGTGTGGATTTTGATGAAAAAAAGAGACTGGGGGAGCGTTTTGAAGAGGTCGAACTGTTCTAGTTTGACATTTTCAGAATGGAACACTTCCGGATTTAGCTTTGAAGTCTACATTCTAAAAACGTTACCGTTCTAAAACGTCGACACTGAAACAAGAAAGATAAGGCGGGTGAGGCCGTCTCTCTTATTGGCCAAACTTCTGTGGGTGAGAGAGACAAGCTTTCGCCTGCACACGGAGCTCTAAAATATTTCCAACCCACGACGGTTGCAGAAATAGAATATTTTCAAAGGTTTTGGGGTGAGGTTCTAGTTTAGCATTGGTCACAGAACAGAAATGCTAGCTCCCACACAGCTGTAGTCAGGTATCAGGACTCACTGTGCAAGATGCAGTACATTTTTATTGCTTAAAAAACAACAAATAGTCTAGTAGCGCCTTAAAGACTAACAAAACAACCCAATGGGCTGTGCCCACGAAACCCCATGTTTTGTTAGTCTTTAAGGTGCTACTAGATTATTTGTTTTTGAAGTTTTTCCTGTTACAGACTAATTCAGCCACCCCTCTGAAATTTTTATTGCTGTATAAACTACAATGACACCTGAAAGTCCCACAGTTCCAGATCAAGTCCCATGACCCTAGATGCTGTAGAAACACAGAACAGTGGGTATGTCTACACTACCCTGCTAGTTCGAACTAGCGGGGTAGTGTAGACATACCCAGTGAGATAGACCTTGCCCCAAACATGGGATATAATTCCCCTTCCATTTACTTTTCATCTTTTTTATTTTATTTTAGATTTCACAAAACTCTTCCCCTTTGTCAATCCTTGTAGTGGGATTAGAGACAAAAGCCAAATGCAGGAGAGTGGCGTGTAGGGGGAAAACATGCCAATCAATTGAGCACGGCTGTTAGCATCTTTCCTGGGCACATCTTCCAGAATTGAAAACAGCTGGCGGGCGTGCTGTGGTGGGGAGGGAAAATAATGTGTGGGAAGAATGTTTGGGGAGGATGCTGCATAGGGGAAGGGGGGGGGCAAAGAGATTAAGGGGGTGAGTCTCCATTCCGTAGCATTTTGTGCAGTCGTGAACCAATGCAAAGTGGGTGCATATGGCACCCATTCTACCCTGGCACGTGTGACTGAACAAGGGGCCGAGCGTGCAGAGAACCTGGCCCCACATCATGGGCGTCATTGTTTCCTCTGATCTATCACAGCACGTTGCAATTTTGTATTTTAAAACCCTCGGCGCATCAAGGAACAAACACTCAAAAAACCAGCCGGTTCTTTTCAGTCCCACCACGCTGGTTGGGAAGCAGCATGGCTTGGTGGTTTCAGCACCGGACTGGGACTAGGCAGAGCTGCCTCCTGCTCATAGCTCTGGTGCAGGGTGTGCTTGGGCTGCCTCAGTTTCCTCAGCTATGAAATGGGGAGAAAGAGACTGAGTGGTTCTGTAAACTGCCTGGAGAGCTACTGATGAGACGTGCTTGGTGAGAGCCATTATTGTTATGACTACTTGCTCTCTGCTTTGTAAGGCACTGAACCCTGCTGTCTATTGGCATTAGGGGGTCTGGTTCTGGAGCCCCGGCAGGTGCATTGTGTTCACTGTGCTGCAAAGGGACTGTCTGACCAAGGTTGTCAATGGTGGCCTTGACGGGCCTCCCATGTGATCCTACATGCTCGTGTCTCTGTTCTACTGTATGCCATGCTCCGGAGGTCAAATTCCAGGCCTTTCCTCCATGCCTCATCAGTGCCGTGGGCTAACTGAGGAACCAAGCGCTACAAAAAGGATGCCTGCAGTAAATGGGTTTGCAACCCAAGGGTCGCAACTCCCGCAAGACACAGCTAGCGGTCACCCTATTCCCAACTCAGCTGCACTGAAGTCAATGCAAACTATTCTGGGGGCATGTCAGGAGAATAGGGGAACTGGGAGATTTTTTTCCCCACTATAGTTTGCCCGTAGGATTCATCTGGATGTCTCAGCAAATTAATTCTCTGCCATTGAGGTCCTTGGGGGGGGGGCAATGTTCCCTCTAATTTTTTCCACCCATGTGTGAAATAAATTTTGTTCTGTGCACCGAGGCATGTGTGGCTGTGCACCACCTATAGAAACACAGGCTGCCAGCTGGGGGCACTCTGCTGATCCGCTGGGCAGCACCTGAATCTCTCCTGGGTGGCCGCCCAAGCGCTCAGCTTACAGGGAACTCGGCTGGCAGCAGCTAAGTCCTACCCGTTTACTGCCTATGCTGCACAATTTTGCTTCCTGCAGACTGGAACATTTTGGTCTAACTACGTCTTTGGGGCCAGCACAAGGACAACGGGGTGGTACAGGCAGCCCCTGGACGGTCCTAGCTGACGGTCTTGTGTGGCCTTACACTCGAGCAGCCTATGAAATTGCGGGGAGAGGAAATAAGGCTTCATCTCTCCGGCTCAGATGGCCGTTTGTGCCTTCCTTAACCTGACATGCGCGGTAAGTGATGCGGTGGCCGCGGCGCAGCCTGACAAAAACCAGGTGCCTGCATTCTCGTTGCCTGCACCGCGTGTGATTCACCCGTGTCATGCGGGCATGTCATGCTACCATGTTTGCAAATGGCAGCCACTTGGCAAGGGTCTGAAGAGGGTGCAGGATGATGGGGGGATAAAAAATGAAACTTGCAGGCTTCAAAGCTAGTTTTTCCCTCCGTGTGGGTCTGCCCATCTGGCAGC